TATTACAGGCTTTCCTGAAAGCAGTGTCAAAGAAGCCATTCGGAATTCAGGGGCAGCTTCAGGAACCTTTTAATTATATTTGTTCAGTGTAGGTAACCAGTCGAGATAATTTGTTTTCTTTCTGATTCTGTCTTGCTGACCTTCCTCACTCCCACAAACACACACAGCTCTTTATACACTGGCTCTCATTTAGGAGCTTAGGTTACACGGTTTAGGTGATTCTCTGGATCAATTTTTTTAAAAAAAGAAAAAAAAAAAAACTCATGGTTCCCTCTTGGTTCACATTTTGTTTTGCAAACAGAAATTATGCAAATTAACCTTTACCTTAAATTGAGTGGCCTTCACTGCAGATCACCCCTTAGAGAAACCTAGAAAGTATAGCTTTGGGTTCATCACACAGCAGTAAGCTACTGGTATACCCGGTCAGCTGCTGGTTATAACAGATTAGCTTTACCAAGATAGTGAACTGATATGAGCCTTGCCCACAGCCCTACTGTAACACTACTGTGACAGTTAGACTAGGAATAAAGATTCCAGATCCTTTGGGTCCTGCGACATGAAAAACATTGCAGATTGTTCAGCGAGACCGAGACCGAGACTGTCCCTTGTGAGGTTGCAGGGTGGAGGAAGAAAGGGAGAGTGAGAGGGAGAAGTTTATTTATGGAATGTCAGGGGGCCATTGAGGCTCAGCAGGCCCTAGAAGCAGAGGACTTCCCTCAGTGCTTGTTTTCTCCCTCTGACCTTGGATGAACTAGTGCACAGTATATTATGCCGGTTGATTGTGCTGGTTTGTCATGGTTAGCATTCTGGACTGTCACTGGAATGTAGGAAACGGATGAATTTGAATTGAACCATGCGGTGGTCCCCGGGCCCTCTTGGAGTCTCAAGGAGACCTGTCGCTGTTTGTCTGGGCTGGGCCTAATGAAAGCAATGGAGGGAGAGAGAGGTGGGCCTTTGATCTCTTTGTTGCAGCTGCTCCCTGGGAACTCACTGAAATCAATGCCCTGTTTTCCTGAAGGAATGAATGGCTCTGCCTAACTAGCTTTGTGAAGCCCTGGGGAATTCACTGCCTCTGTTTATTGACAGCTGAAAAGGAGCACATGGGGTGGAATAGACCTTCTTGTGAAAACCAGGCATAGGGAAAATTAGACCTCAATTTAACACAGAGGAATTTGGAAATTCACCCCAAAGGAGACGGGAGTTTCTCATGCTTACATTAGAATGACTCAAGTTTGGGGCTAGTGTGCAATGAACAATGAAGGTTTTGTCACAACTATGTTATAAGTAGGAATATGGTATGCATAATAAATGATGTTAAGTAGAAGTTGACTCTATACCCCCCTTCTTTTTTTTAAACCCAGACATAGAGAAAGACAAATATGAACCATGATATAATTGGGCGATGCTTTTATTTTTGCTTTAGGAAGAAAAATTTTTAAATGATACTTAAAATAAGCATTCATATTATATTCAAATCCTCTAAAATGAGTCTTTCATTTATGTTTCAAAACATCTTCAAACTTGGGATCTAAGTTCCCCTCATGCTGTGATTCATGCCACTCCGTATTGTGTGCATTTCATGGGAATATTGCTATGTGGCATTTATTTTTCAAAATTTATACTCTTGGGATATTGTAACTGAAAGTCTGTGTCAAACATAAATGAGATTGATAAATAGACCAGGAGAGCACCCAACATCATAAATCTTAAAATTAGCACCTTCCTTTTCAAAACTAGTAAAGAAAAAGTCTTGAATTCATCACAAGGAAAAATCACCATCCCTCACTTGCTTGATTTCCCAGGAAGAATTTATGGCTTCTTCCTTTGGCCCCAGCCCTTTGTGCACACCTCGGTTATAGCACTTAACACATCGCCCTGTAGCTCTTTGTTTAAATGTATTCTTTTAGCTGGAAGTAAAGCAGCTGTGCCGTATTCATTTTTATATCTCTGAGCCTAGCAAAGCTCTTGGCTGTAAGTGTAGCTGGATGTGTGGCGATTGACGGCTCCCTGAACATTCCTTTGAACACAGTTACTTATCCAGGCTTCAACTGTGAATACTAAATTTTAGGAAAACCTGATTAGTCTCTTGTCACTTGATCAGCACTATTGCTTTTTAAAAAATCTTTCCTTTATGGAGAATTATTAAAACAATTTTTTGGTGTGGCAAGTTTGTTGGGCAGTCCATCAACCTCTAGAAGAAGGCATTAAAAGTGAATGGCATTATCCTTTTCAGAACCAGGCTCTCTGCTCAGTTACTCTTTTCTAAAAATAAACCTCAACGTAATGCTTAAATACATTCATTTAGAAGATGAAATAGCTTGTAATGAAGAATTTTGTAGACTTTCACTTGACCAAATTTAGTGATTGAGATGGATAAAGCTTCCATGTTGTATGACTTAATTCTATGATGTAATGTTAATAATGCAAAATAAAACATCCTTTGGCAATTTCTTTAACCAGATTTACTACCACTGTGTGCTATGAATTCCTTATCAAAGGAAGCAAAGGCTGACTACTCTGATTTCATAGGACCCTAGGACAAACCCGATTTCTGAGCTATTCTCAGGTTACAATTTCTTTTTTAAGCCTGAGCTTAAGTGGGAAATAGTTCTCAGCATTCTTTAGGAAAATAATATCTTAAAATCATAATGGAAATGTTTAGAAGATGTCGGAGGGTGGGGGAGTAAGCACACAGGCTGGCTAGAACTTTGCCCCCTTGTCATTTTTTTTTAACCACCAAGATTATCTTTTCAAAGAAATGTGTTTGGATTTTTATTTTGATTAAAGGTAGAGATGAAATTTGAAATAGAGGTGTACAGATCTGTGCACTGTGATGGGAACTCTGTAGGGGAACAGATTCACGCAGTTGTAGGAAGAGGGTCGATTGAGCAGGTAGTCTCACTGCTGAGATCTGAGATTCCTTCCAAAACAGGAAAGTACCTTGGCGGTGAACATTGGTAGATTCTCACCTCCTTAAGCACTGACTTGTAGATAAGAAAGCATTAAGCATAGCACTTAGCTTTTATAACTGGCTGCTTAGTTCTCCCAGTTCTGGAAGTAATTTTGTGTGACAACATACCAAAGTAGAGTAGAGGGAGGAGAAGGAAATGAAGCCGCACTTTTCCATTTAATAATTTAGCTTTCATCATGAGGTGTGTCTTCTTCTGCATTGGTAGAGCTACATCCAGACCAAGGCAGCAACTGCCACTAAAAATTGTGTGCTTGCTCTGTTTGTAGAATCAGAACTTCAACTGTAGCATCCCCACAAAAGAGCCTTCTCCCCATCCCCCAATATCCAAGAATAATTTCAAGGAATTTAAGGGTCAATCCCTCAATATAGGTTTGGAGATCAACATATAATTGGTCTCTATGCTTATATGTGCATTATTCCACTTAAACAAATTTCCCAGTAGAAAGATGCCAGATTCTTTCCTCTTAGATGGCTTCCCATCTATCCATACTGACTTGCTCACGTAGCTGGCCATGGTGGCCTGTGATCCAGCTACTCAGGAGGCTGAGGCAGGAGGATTGCAAGATTGAAGCTAGCCTGAGCGACTTAACCAAGGCCTTGTCTCAAAAAGTGAAAAGGACTGTGAATGTAGCTCAGTGGTAGAGCACCCCTGGGTTTAACCCCCAGTATTGGTGGGGGGGGGGGCAGGATGTAGTCATTGACAATGAGACACCTTTCTTACCCATTAGGTTGGGTTAAAAGAAATGCTATTCTGAAATATAAAATTATTTAAAATTAGATTATATATAAGCTATATGGATGACCTGGATATTATTACCATAAAAACCTTCTGTAATAACTCAGTATCTAATTTTTGCAATTAATCATCAGTACTAATGAGGCTATTAAAACAGTATGTGTTTGGTTTAAATGTTTACTTTGCAGCTTTGCTTTATTGGCTTTTTTTAGTGTGCCATTTTTCACTAAGAAAAGACCTCAGCTAAATAAAAGAAAAACAACTTGGCTCGCATTCAAATTATTATACCTATAGCATTCATAGAATTCAGATTAGTAAGGTTTTTCTATTCGAAAACCAAAAACTAATAACAGCCTTCTAGGGCCTTGCATAAATGTGGACCTTCCAGAGGACATTGCGAGGTTGGTACTTCAATTGCATTGGACTCCTGGTTAGTAATGAATTTATATCAAGGTAAGGATTGATGGGTGTGAGTTATTATTTATGTATTTCCTGTCTTTATTATTTTTACAGGAAAATATCTTTTTCAGTCTTTAAAAATTTCACTCTTGTCTCTCCTCCAGTTGCCATTCCATCTCTCTCCTTCTCCTGAAGTGAATCGCTGGGTATCTTACAGTCAAGTCCAGTCCTCCAGGCTTCTTCTTATAGGACTAGTCTTGACTTTGAAAAAATATTGGGAGTTACACTTGGTGGGGTGTTTTGTTTTTGATTTTGATATTTTGCCTCTTGGTGGCCTGCTCAGGACTGTATCCTCCTCCAAGCATTCTTAGTTGGCACTCTGAAAAGGTTCTCATTATCCTCTCGTTTCCGCTTGAGGCTATGACATATTTTCACTTCAGGTCTCTGAAAAATAATGGCATACCCATGAGTGTTTCCTGCTTGCCAGACACAGTGCAAATAAACACTGTACTTAAATTAACTCATGGAATTCTCAAAAGGGTCTTATGATGTAGGTGGTTGATTATCTCCATTTCACAGGCAAGAAAGCCGAGGTAGAGATATTGAACAAATTACGTGAGGTTTCTTAGTGATTCTAGGTGACACCAGGATTTAGATCTTGTCTTTCTGACATCATAACCATGCTCTTAACCACGTTGTTTGCTGTATCACCACTCTCACATGAAAAACCCTTTCGTGACTTAAAGGCATGCCTCTGGAATATTGCCACATGGTACTAGGGCATTTAATGGAGGGGCTTTGACCTTGGCAGTCTGGAGCTCCTATTCTACCTACTTGGTCTGTTATAGTTCTCTTAATGCTTCCTTTTAACATTTTGCTCATGTTTTCCTTTAGGGTTGCTCTTAGGTCTGGCGTGGCCTCTGCTTCAGGTCACATCTAAAACTCATCCATACCTGGCATAGAAAGGTAAGTGTGCCTTCTCTCAGCCCTGGGATGCCTGCATCCTCAACTCTTCTGGGGCTAGCTGTGACTGTGCTCATTCTCTCCCTGCCTCAAAGCCCACACCAGAGCCTTTCCACCTTTGTACAGAGGGGGATATGATGTTCTGGAAAACACTTCCTGTCAGAGAATTTGTATTCAAGGAACTTGAGGGAAAATGGATTGTGTGATAAGATTAGGAACTTATGAAACCCTATTTTTAAAAAACAAGAGAACATGATAAAAACACCATTGCAATTTATTCACAATATGTTAGAAATAATGGGTATTGTACAGTTGATTTGTAAGGTATCATGATTTGCTTATTAGAAACTTTGTGATCTTCCTCTTTTATGTGTGTGTGTGTGTGTGTGCGTGTGCTCATATACATATATTTTGTTTGTTTTTGCACAGTACAAATACTAGGAACAAATTAGGGTATTACCCTTCATTTAGAATTCTATACCAGATATGTAACACATAATTCAAAGTCTCTAAATCATCCTCCTAAAGTCATAATGTAGGTTGATTCTCAATTTGCATATCTTCTATCCAAACTTACTGAAGTTGTGAAGTAGGTAGTTCAGGTGTTTATTTGAAGGAATTCATGGTTGGCAGAGTCCCCATTATACAGTAGAAGTTTTTATTTCTTATTTTCCACATTCAGGTGGAGATTGACTTGTTTTAATCGCTCATTTCAAGATAATGATCCCTAATTCTAGCTTTAAATGTCCTATCCAACATTTTTGTGGTTTTCCCCCATAACATGTATCAGTTCTATGTCCAACTCATTCCCCCTCAAGCCCCTTTCACCCTCCCCTTGTTTTGCAGCTTTTGTGCTATTGCTTAACCATAACTCTTGGCCTCTTTCCATATGTGTTTTTTTGCAAAATGTCCCTGAGGCCATATTTTAAAATCCCAGTCTTCTATGTAAGTTTTCTTATAATCCATCTTCATTCTATTTCCCCTGCAAAACTCTCACTAGATGAACCACTTCCCCCTTTATTGTATGATCTTGAGGCTAACTTCCAGAAAGATCCACAAGCACCTCATCTGGAAGGCTGAGGAGAGTATTAGTTGTTCTCATTTAAATTCATACCTGCTCTCCAGATGATTCGAACTGGTCCACTTCCCCACCAACACATTCTTCTGAAGGAAAAATTTAACGAAATCTAGAAATGCAGAGATAATAATACAAAGTTCTTTTCAAGCATGTGTGGCCATGGAGTGGTGATCCACATTAAAGAAAGATGATTGAGTCCATCATTTATGCTCTGCTTACTGTTATGTACATTGTGTCCAAAATAAGTTGTTTGTAATTGTGAGCTCACCTGCTGTGTAGAATCACTTCTGACACTTATTCACAGGCCACATCTGCTTTGTACATCTGCTTTGGACTCTGTGCTTGTCATTGTGCCACTCTGTGTACACATATAACATACTCTTGCAACAGCTCTGCAAGATAGATCAATGTCCCCATTTTATGTCAAAGGAGACTTAGGCTTAACCATAACTCTTGGCCTCTTTCCATATGTGTTTTTTTGCAAAATGTCCCTGACTGAGGACATTTGGCTGAGGTCACACACCTTCCAAGTAGCAGAGCATCTTTCAAACTCAGTTTTTCCCCCTGTACCACAGTGTCCATCTTAGGTTGCATCTAGAATACTGGCATGTGGTTAGTCCTTTAATCCTAAGAGCACAACCTGGTATTAGTAGAATGTGCTTCCCACACAGTGGAAGAAGTAGAGTAAAATGCATCATTTTATCACTTTTTAGGTAAGGAAGGTTATTATCTAAGGAATATTAAAACTTCTTCTCTTCTCTATGAGCAAATAGACAAAAAGTAAAAGAGAAAAACAGTTGGGATCATAATAGAGAAGAATGTTTAATATTATTAAAAATTAGCCAATAAAGCACATTCTCCATCTATCTTCAAGTTAGTGCTAACGAGTATGCATGTCTATGCTATAACAAAGAGTACTTTATTTGGAGAGTAAATTGATCCACTATGTAGCATGTACCAAGGTAATTTTTTTTCTTTTTTGTTTCAGCAGAAATTAAAAAGGTTCATAAAACATACACTCCCCATGTAAACTGAGACCACATTAGCATCACAGTCATTTTATGTTGTTTCCCTAAAATGGTTTTTATTTGCCCCATCCAATCAACTCATGTGTGTGAGAGTTTGCCAGTTCTGACTCAGGGAGGATTTAAAGCTTTCTGAGAACAGTTTTATAGAGAAACCTAAGTTTAGTTACAACTTTTTATTCTTTTTGTTCACAATTTTGTTGTTAGTAGTTTTTTGTTGTTGTTGTTTTGTTTTGCCATGAGAATTATAGTGTATCCATTTTAATGTATTTAATTGATAAATCCAAGAGAATAGTCTGTGTGTGCTGTCTGAGGTCTCCATCTATAACATAGGCCTTAACTTACTGCTGTCCTGCTTAAAAAACTTTCAGTGGTTCTGATTAGACAGGTCTCTGGGTTGCAGTTGACAGAAACTAATGGGAACATTAAAGAATTCCAAACAGGCAAGTGACAGGAACATATTTGCATGTTAGAAGAATCACTCTGACAGCAGCTTTGTGATTAGAATGAAGGAGAGCCCGTCCAAAAACAGCCTGGGGAACAAGTATGGATGTCAGTCTTCAGTCTGCATGCGGAAACAGCCCCTTCCACTGACCTGTCTCCAGGCTCCTTATTTACCAGGCTGCTATATTTAAAGGAAGTCACACATAAGTTTGGGCCTCCAGAGTAGACTGTCCGCCTTTCTCCAGTCTCCCTCCCCCTTGCAATCTCCCCACATTTTTGGGCACCACCAGATTTGAAAAGTAGTCTTCTATAGAGAGCTATCCTCGTTGGGTGGAGGGGTTTGGGATAGGAATGTGTGTGCTCACCGCTCACCAACCATCTTTGTCTCTCCTTTGGGGTCTTACTAGTCTGGTGTGACAGGGAAAAGAGACAGCAGAGGCTAGACCCTTATGAAACCAGAGCGCCCCCACGCCCCCAGTCTTGGCTTGTTTTGGTTTGCCAATCCTCTACCTGCTTGCCCAACACCCTTAGCTTTCATGTTCCCTATCTGTGTGATCTTTTTAGGGATATTTTTTAATACAACATGCCCACCATCCTTGGAACTAAAGCAGATAGATGGGGCTTTATGCTTCAAACTCAAGGGACCATTTTGACAAACTCTGCTCTGTGATGGGCACTTTTTCCCCACGGAATCCTCTTCTTCCAGGTCATCTTCCCTCTGGATGTGCCCTATACCTTGCCTGGCCTTCAGGATCAGTGATGTGCCCATTTGGCAGGAAAATGGGGCTCCCTAATTGCTTAAGCTTGCCTGTATGAAGTTCTTCTGGCCAGAGCACTCTATACTAATAGTTCTTTCTACGTTATGGCCGAAGTGTCTTATTTAAAACCCTCGGTCTTCATTGGACCTTTATAAACCTCTTCTGACGGTCTCAGATGTTCAGCCACAGACTGAAGTAGAATTTGCTTAGAAAATGCCACTGACCTCGGAGTCTGAACACTGCCCCTATCCGAATCATTGGCGCCTCCAGGACCTATCATTTCTGCAGCCTCTTTGAATCATCACATTTGTCACAGGATTTATATCCTTTCTCTTAGGGAGGGAGCCTCCCCTCCCCCAGAACACCCTGGTTTCCAGCAGGCCATCATTTCCATCTTATGGAAATCAGCTCCCTGTCCTAGCATATTAGCCAGGGAAGGATGTCCAGGCTTAGGAAACAGAGATGTCTGGGTCTCAAGACTCCCCTAGCTCTGGATCTTTTTCCAAGTAGACTTCACTTTTTTATCCTCTGTATGTATGTGTTTCCTGGTTTGTTTGCTTTTAGCAGTTCAGAGCATAAGATGAAGGCCTTAAAGATAACTTTGCCTCTCCCTTTCTAGGTATTTGCCTAGGAATCAGAGGCGTTACTCTTGTGAGTATCTTCTAACATCTGCCCTTCCTTCCTTTCTTTATAGACCTAGGGTTGTCAAACACAGGACTGCCCCCCCCCCCAATCACCAGCACCTTCAGAACCCTTCCTTTTCTGCAAAGCAGTCGTGGCCTTTTTCAAACAAACAAAAAAACTAGATGGGCTCCAGTTCCAGCAGTTGTAGCTAGTCAATCTCGTGGGTGGGCATGATTCTAAGTAAGATTCTTAGCACCCTGTTGAGGTACCCACCAATTTGCAACTCACCCAACAAAGTCTTTGAGATTATTCCCCATTAACAATCTCCATTTGAACTCCCCCCCGCCCCCATTCTGCCAACCTGGAGAATTTCATCTGGGTGAGTTTCAGGTGTCTCTTCTCGCATAGTTTGTGCCCTTGAACCTAGGGATTCCCATGGCGCCTAGAAGGTGAGGAACTGGCCTCTGACCTTCTATATATCATATTAGCTGTGTCTTGAAGCCTTGCAGCTGTCCTCCTCAGTGCCAGGAGTGGCGGCTGGGAACCTCCTGGAGCTTGAGTGCTCTCCCACACAGCTGTCCTCAAGGACTCTGTCGCTGCCTTAGGAAACGACAGGGCAAGACCCCCCCCCCCTTGCTGGGGGCTGACAGATCCTTTTCCTTTCCAGGCCCAGGGTGGGGGATGGGGAGTGGAGGGGACAGTGTCTCTTTTTTCACCCTCTTATCTGCCCTGCCCTCCACTCCCAGCAGTCCTGCAGAATTTCCTCACTGGATTTAGATATTAACAAAGACTTCTTGAGGCTGCCCCTGCCTTCAGCTGGGCCGAAATACAAGGGGTGACAAATCTGCCACCTGTTTTTAGCGAGAAAGGGAAATTGTTGGGTCGACAAAAAGTAAAACTCCCAAGTTGTATTGCCGTGATGTTTGGAGGCGGTAATAAAGGCAGAAAACTCTGCCCAACGGTATAGGTCACTATGGCCAGTGAGAGGAGGAAACAGATTCCAGAGACAACAAGCTCACAGACCCCGTACAGCTTAATCAGGGAGAAAAATCTAGTGTGACTCCAGAGTTTCCGACTTTGTAGAGGCTGGGAAGTTACTGTGAAGGGATTGACTTTCAAATTAGCACAACTTCTAGGCCTTAGGTTTCTTATTTAAAAAAAAAAAAATAGGCTAACACTTCCCACTTAAAACATGGCCGCCATCTCATGAGCATCTACTAATCATGGCTAAGATACACAGTGGTGCTGGGGGAGGAAATAGCTAGACGACAGGAGTGTGAAGCTCTGATCTAGTGACAGTGAGGGGCACGGGGCGCAGGGAGGTATCTACAATGAGAGGTTCAGGAGGAATGTGGGTGCCTTTGTCTGGAATTTGAAAGAAAGCTGAGGATTGAAGATGGAAATTTGGGAGGCCTCTGACCTCAAGAAGTAGTTAAAACTTTGAGCTGTGCATGAGAATTCCCAGGGAGTGTCCAAAAGTGAGAGGGTAGGGGGCCAGGTGCCAGGCCCACAAATCTGTTTAAATTCCATGTGTTCCTTTAACAACATGCCCCTCTGTGGTCATTGTTTGGAGGTGAATGTGCATATCCCACTTAGGGTCTCCGGTTCAAAGATAGAATCTCATTGTTCACCATGATCCATCTGGCCGCAGTAAGATGTCATTGTCTATGATCTACCAAATCCCCGTGGGCTCCTTTCCTTCTGCAGTAAAAGTCTTTCAAAAATAAGACATTTCCGAGAGACTTCAAAAACAAACCTGGCACGTCTACAGTCTAAAGGACTCTCTTGTTGAAAACCAGAAAAGACTTCCCAGTGTCAGGGGTTGCCCATTTCTTTCCCTCTCAAATCACTGGAAATAAAGTCAGATTGAAGAATTAACTTAAGTCATAAAACCAGGAAGAACTAGATGTGGATGAGCTGAAACTGGAAGAAATCCTTTTGTTCATTTCAGGGGTTTCAGGGAGTGCTCAGCAGGCAGCTAAGCTAGTTCGTTAACTGAGGAGAAGCATGTTCTGAAGCAGGCGCCCAGAAAAACATATTGTGTGGCAAAAAATGGACTCTAGAAATCATACACTCTAGAGTCATGAAACTTTTGTTTTTGTTAATGAATGGCTTCCCCTCACCCCCCCACACACACACAAAAATCATTCATTTAAAACAATTAGCAAATCTATTTACCAGGAGAAGATTTCTTTGCTAGGAAAAATGTGATATTTCTGGCTACCCTGGAGCTATCGACCTTTAGAATTATTTGATTCTTACAGCGTCATTTTTACTACACACTTAAAAAAAAAAAGTTGACATTTGAAAACCGTTTTCTCTGCTTTTGAAATCCAAATCCTAACTGAAGAGTCTATATATAAGTGGCATCCTGTCCAACCGAGGTTTTTTTTTTCTTGACTGTGTCTTTGCTGTGTTAAATTGTCATACGTTGCACAGGATGGTGCCCCAGGCCAGGCCTGTCGAGGGTCTCTGTGGCATTGTTAGTATGTACACGTCAGACATGCTGAGAGGGCAGGTGGGAGAGGCTGAAGGACTTGATCTCCTCCCTGCTAGGGCTCTCCTCTTTCACTAGTGCTGCTCCCACTGAACAGCCTGAGAATAAGCTCCTGTGTGAGCCCTCAGAGGCCAAGGAGTATTGTTGAGTTCAGAAAGGAATTGCTTTCTTTTTGTGATAATTTGAATATTTTGACAATGAAGCTAAGCTACTCTACTGCCTGGTTTGCTTACCTCACGTTCAGCGAGCCCTTTCCTGGGAAGCCGAAGGGAGTCCGGCCTCTCTGAATACATAAATTGGTATTGTCCACTTGTGAGCTGGGCAGACGCAAAGAATCATCTAGAAGATTTCTTTTGCTTCAGTGTTTTAAAGCTCTTGAAAAAAAAGATACAAATGTTTAGGGACCACCTAATTAAACCACAATGGTAGATGTTGAGCATTTTGAGACAACAGGTGAACCATGCAGTTGATTTGTGAAGCTTTTGTACATGCAAAACAAAGAATAACTTCAGAACAGACTCCCTGGGTGATTCAAGTAACCTGGTCACCTCCAGTTTTATCCTGAACTTTGTTGGGTCATTTTTAAATGTTAGTTGTCTGACAAGGCCATATATATTTTTTTCATTTTCAACTTAAAACACTGTTCTTTTGCAGAATAAATGGTCGTAGCCCTTTTTTAAAAAAATAAAATTAAAGCAAGCATCCAAGTGAATAAATCACTTAGGTGAGCTAATTGGCTTTGTTTCATAATAATTTACTTTTGTACAATTTAAGAGAACCCGAGCAGCTTTCCCCCTAAGAGGATCTACTGGTTAGAATAGTCTTAGTTGGAAGAAGTCAAGTTTTATAATTAATTGGAGCAGAGAGACTGGTTTCCAAATGCTCATCAGGGTTGTGGTACAAAGCAGGTGGCAGACTTGGCTTCTGAGAATCTGGTAGAAACACAAGTTCTTGGGGCCCCATTTTACCATTTCAGTGTGTGCTAGTTTGCCCTGTGGCCTAGGAATCTGTATTTCTAAAGGACTTCCCTGCTAATTCTCATGCACAGCCAGGTTTAATAATCATGGACTATTTCATTAGGAGGTACCCTGCAAATTTGATAAACCTATAAGTCTATATGAAGCTTTGTTGAAAGTGTCAACTGGATATTGCTGACTTTCTTTCAATTCATAATTTGTTTCAGGTTCTGTTACTGCGTGGATTTGCATACCTGTTTTATGGTATTTTAATACTGTTGGTTTAAAAGAAATACCATTTCCTCTGAGTGCTGTTTTGAATATTTTATGTAAGCAATTTCATGTATTCTTTGTTTTACTCGCAGAAAGCAGGGAAAAACTTGAGCATGGTTCTAATCCAGTTGCAAGTAGGACAGAGAATATAATATAAGTAAAGATCACCCACCAAAATGCATGAAAACGCAGTAGGAATTCTGTAGACCACCTCAGTGGTGTGTGTGTGCACTCATAAATGGAAGCTCAGGTTATAGTGTGATGGGGAGCGTGTTCTTCTAGCTTCATTCACTGAAGATGTGCAAGTCTCTTACAGGTTTGAATCTTCAGACTTCTGAGAGAACTCCGTGCCTGACTTGTGGCTGATGTATCCTGTCACCCAGTAGGTATGCAAGTTTTAAATTTGTTTCTAGTTGGCCATGTTTATCAACAATTGTGTGGAAACCTAGTGAAAACTAGGGACTGACAAAGTGCTGGAAATTCCAACAGGTCTGGGAGCTCAGGGAGGAGTCTTGCCTTGTTTCTTTGGTTTACCGTTTGTATGACTTAGATGGGTGTTAGCCAGTGATGTCCCAAGGTGTCTGAAGACCGATGACCAACACACAGGCAATGTCTTCCCAGGAGCTGAAGGGAATGGGGAGCAGGATGGCCCCGACTGAGGCGAAGCAAGCAGGGAAGGAAGAGCTACTCGAGACCCTGCTGTAGGCTACTGGGAAGGAGCGGCAGGCGTGGCCCTGTGGGAAATTAGGACTCATTGTGAGCAAGGTGCCCAGCCTCCTCTGGGCAGCCAGGAGCATCGGAAGGCACACTGCAGCCGCCTGGACAGGCTGGCGGGGAGGGACCACACATGTGGATTGCAGGGACAGCTACTTAGAGAGTTCACATTCCTCTCCCATTGAACTGCCTCCGATTGTAATGGTCTGTTAAACAAACAAAGGACCTAAAGCTGTGAATGGGGAGGAAAAAAACATAAGGTGAAAAGGAGGGAGGCTGTCTTGAGTGCTCCTCTCTTGAGGCTTGCTTTCCTGTCTCCCTAACATTCCTTTCCCCTTTCAGAGAAGCCAGGGTGGGAGCTTAGAAGAGTGGCCTTGTTTCTATAGTGCAACTTCCAGTCCAAACGGAAACCCGTGGAATGTTTATCAGTTTAAAAAGAAAATTAAAACAGATAATCTTAAAGGACTGGGGATAAATATTTGTAGACTTCAGATTTATTTCTAAGTGACCCGTGTGCCTGGCCCAAATAACTCAGTTATACACCCGGGAGGGGGCCGGTGGTCTGTGATGCTTGTTCTCTCTAGCGCAGTTGGTGGCTGAGCTGTCCTAGCCTTCGTGGATTCCCAGTTTCCTGGAGAAGCCCACTTTGCTGTGGCCAGACCCTACCTGTCCAGCCCTCTCCCACCGTTACTGGTCCACACGCCCACAGCGCAGCCAGAACTAGCCTCCACTCCAGGCTATGGCCTCTGCGCATGTCCATGTTCTTTACACCCCCGCCCCCACCCCTGCCTGTGGTTCACTGCCCTGTTACACCCCTAGACTCAGCTCAAATAGCCATCAAAATTAAGTGCAGATATTCAGAATGGAAAAATGAAACCCATCATCTGTCATCCCGTTCCCCAGACAGACCCATGTCTGCATTGTGTGTCCTTTTTCCGTTTTATTTAGAGATAATGCTGTCTTGGGATCAAACCGTGCACCAAGTCCTGGGCATTCTTTCTAGAAAGTATAGACTAAAAGTTTCCTTTAAGCAATTTTGAACTCACAAATCTGACTTCCCCTTGTCTCTGTGACTGCTGTGCTTTTCTTAGCTTTTCTTCTTTCCTCAGGACAAACCTATATACCCACATGCTTCCTGAGAAGGAACCAGGCTTTTCTTTTCCCAGATGGTGGCCTTGCTAGGACAATAGGCCAACTGCTAATTAGAGTTCTGGTTCCTCCATGCCCTACACTCTAGAGTCCCAGGAAAAGAGAGCATGGCAGCCAGCTATAGAAGCAGACCCTAAGGGTCTAAAGGCCAGTCATCGAGGATTTATAGGGAGGGAGGAGGGGGATATATTTTCAGTTGTCACAAAGGAACAGTCCCCATCTCTGACTTTAATGATTAGAAAATCTGCTCCTAATACCAAAGGCTTTTGTCTGGATTTTGGGGCTCTCTGTCCACCCCCCACCCACTCCAGACTACCTAGAGTCTCCATTAATAAATAGACGTCTTAAAACGGGACAGTGCGTCTCAGCTTGAGAGCCAGTCCTAGACTTAACACTTGCCTTCCTGGACGCACATGTCTCACTTGTAGACATTCGTCTATTTGTTTCGGAATATTCTATTTTAAATTCAATGTGGCGAGAGAGGAGGAATGTGAAATACTTTAGAGTCTGCAAAGATAGCTCTTTCCTCCCTTTGTCCCCACGAGGGTGAGCCTGAATAGCCATTGGTAGCAGCCCTGTGGCGCCGTCTGGGAATCTGAGCTACCAGCCCCTGCTCCACTCTGCAGGCGGAGGAAGGGCATTCGGCCAGTGGCCATGGGCCTGAGAGAGATGAAGTACTCTGTGCTGATGGATCCCCGGTCCCTGGAGTCCTTTCCTTCTGTGGTTTGGTTCCTTGGTCTTCTATGGCTTTGTGAGGCTCACATCCACTGGTGTGGGCCTTCCTTGTGGTTTCTCAGGGCTCCCTCCCATTCTGGTTTACACAGTGGTATTGGCATTCTCTACCTGCTACAGCCTCTTCTCCCCCCACCTCTGTGTCCCCAGCAAGTCATGGCTAGGGTTGACTTTCAGTTTAGCTAATCTCTTCAATCTTTTGAACAATGTATAACAAAGAAAGACCCGCTGTAAAAGGCCTGCCTTCTGCTAGTGGATTAGGCCACCAAAGGGGTTTTTAAGCTGTTAAAGTCTTGTTTGTATAATCACAGGACATAAGTTAAATTTAGGAACATCTTGTCTAGTTTTTGAACTGAGATTCCATTTTCGTTTGTTTATTTGTATCACTGCTATCTCACCCAAAAGGAAGCTGGGGAATTTAGAGGCAGGGGCTGCTTCTGTCTTTGGAGCTCTGAGAGCTGCATGCCCCCACAAGCCTGCCTCCTGTTCTGCAGTAGCCTGTAGATCTCCTGAGGGAGGATCAGTCTAGCTGTGATCTGCCTGTCCAAAAGAAAACAAAGACCTCCTCACCCCAGGGCCAGCCCACTTTACCAAACCACCCTGGAGAGGAGAGACACTGGTGATCAAGGTGGTTCATGTGAGCTTCCTGACAGGACCGGAGGCCCCCATGGAAGGAAGGCTCAGTTATTTATAGTTACCTGAATAAGCCACATGCAGAATGGCATTCACCTCCCCAAAACCAGAGGGGAGGACCTCAGCCACTCCATGCTGTGGGTCTCCATGCCTGCCCAAGTTGCCCATTAGGCTTACACTCAGTGTGTCCAAAGCTAAACTGGAATTTTCCCTCTGGGACTCAGATTTACTTTCCATCTCTGCCATCCTCATCCCCTGATATCATCTTGATACCTTAAATCACATTCTGTCTTCTGGTATTTAGAAAGGCAATTGATTTTGTAATTTTGATTTTTATAACCAAACACCTTGTCAGACTTAATAATATTAATCTTGTGTGTGGATTCTCTGTGGTCTTTGATGTAGTCTTGCATTTGCAGATAATGAAAGATTTACTTCATCTTTCTGTTCTGCTTATTGCCTAATCACGTAGTCCGCAGATTCTAGTACAACAGTGAAATATTCAATGGAAGCAGCGATGGCAATTTTGTCATGTGGTAAAGATATTAAATTGTTACACTAACCTAAAAATCCTCTCCTCCTTCCTAGCTCTTGGTTTAACTATATGTTTTAGCCATTTTATCTGGGAATGATTTTACCGTTAGTCACCGAGTGATATTAGCTGAGTTATAAAGGTTGCTTCAGAGTTAATCACTAGCAAGCATTAGAAATAGGTCACATGGAAAAATAGCAGGTACCCTCAAAATAAGCCACCTGCCAGATGCAGGTACCTAAGAATCTGGCAGGTGTTAATTCAAATCTCTCCTCCATGGTCTGCCTTTCCCACTCCAAGCTGCCTGGTTCTGTTAGTTTGGTTTTGTGTTCATTTTCCTTTTCTCCTTTTTCCTTGGCACCTACTGATTTATAAGTAGAGAGCCATGGCAAAGCTGCTGGAAGCTTTGTAGACATAGTAGCAGGGCTTGTCAGGCAGCGCCAGTGAATCCCTGAGGAGCTCCCATTTGCCCTTGTCTTTTAGTAGAGTTTCAGGAAAAATGAGCTGTGTGCCTACATTCAATCCACCGTCTTTAGATGACTCACACTGTGAACAGAAGGTACCCGTCCTCTTAAAAATGTCTGGTTAGGGTATGGACTTGGTGTTCTAAAGTTGTGATAGAGTCTCCTCGACAGCTTTCTCAGTTTTCTCTCTGAATATTAGATAAACACTTCACTGTAGCTTTCTTGCTTATTTTAAGCCTCCTTTCTAAGAAAACAGGAGCTTAGTCACTGGCTTAACAAAATTAAGTCTCTCAGGGTGACAGTTTGAAAGAATATAGGCAGCAAACCTGATTTCTCAGCAGGCTGTAGGGTGGCCCTCCTCAGAGCAGGACAGCAGGACAGGGCAGTAAGGGCATTCCACCACCCAGCATAAACTGGGGCAAAACAGTGTCAGACAGATGGAGGTGGAGATGTCCACTAGACTACTGAGTGGACCCCACCATGTGGAAGAACTCATTCTTCTGTTTGGGTGTGACAGAAAAATAAGAGTTTGGCAGATGGACAAGGGATAGTGGGCATTCTAGAAGGAGAAATACAAGAGAGTGTGGCACTTGGAAGAAACAACAGGGAGACTGATTTGTGGCCTTGATATCCTTTGGGCCATTATTGGGGAAAGGTCTGCAGACATAGCAGGCTGACAGGCCCTGAGTGTCCAGCCTGAGTTCATCCTAGGCAAGTGCTGTCTTCCCAGTGACATGTCAGCTCAGGTGTCAGGATTTTAATGATAATGTCTTAGTACTTTATTGAGGATATATGACCTTTAATAAAGACTTTTAAAGATGTAGACAGATAAATCCCTGTGATTTGAAGGCAGCTTGCCCTATAGTCATAAGGTAGACTGCCTTACAGGACAGGATCTATACTTGAAATGAAATTTGTACAAGTTATTTACTGCTTGAATTCCAGAAAAACAATATAGAACTTTTTTTTTTCTTCCCACTTTTACCTGAAAGAATTCAAGCCCCAAATCTGTGGCCCATGGATTAGGAGATACTAATGACACTGTGAAGATCCCAGTAGAATATTGATAGCACCAAGGATTTTCTCTTATTTCTCAGTTGAGCCAATGCCCTTTAACCTGTTTGAATCTAGGACCGCTTAGAAAAATTTAAAAATGCTATCGTTCTTCTCTCCATAAGAATCTCAGTATGCATGCTTTCGATTCTGTATAGACCACCAGAGAGTTCCCAGGGGCCCTGCTGAGCTGCCATGGGCCCCACTTAAGACCCTGGTCTCATTCAAGGCTGGTAATCCAGCTATAGCCATCCTGGAAAGGACTGGTGAGGGCCCCAGTGTGATCTTCAAAGCAGTAAGTGCCATGGACACCTGTTTTGCTGATTAGACATGCAAACCAAGCTCTTCTGACATTGTACTGGCTCAGGAAAAGCACCCAGCAAATTTCAGAATAGAATAAAAAAATAAGCAGTCACAACTACCTAGAGATTCTGGGTCTCTTTCTGTTTGCTGATGATTCTGAACAGTTTTGGTTTTAATTTGTTGATAGACTTGCTTCTCATGTGCTGATTTTGAGAAGGTTACCCTGATTGAAAACTTCCTAGGACCAGTTAAGCAAAGGATTTCTACCTCTCTTATTCCATGACTGGCTGCTTCATTGTTTGTGAATATAAGAAAAAAAAAAACTTGTCAGAGACCCTTTTAAAATCAGCTTTAATGTATATATTTGAAAACAGTCCCATGTCTTGGGAGTGTGAGGGAGACAGACATTTGGAGGAGAACCTTCTTATCTAGTAGACATAGTAATGAATGGAATGGAAACAAGGACTTAAAAGCACCCATCTTGGAAGGCCAAAAATGGAAATTCAGTTTCCTCTCAGAAATGGGCCTTGCATTGTGTCACTGGGGACAATGGAAATAGAAGCCAGAAGTCATGGTTTATTTTGAGAATGCTGTGAAACAGTTGTCCCCGTTAGACGATTGTGTTGTGCAGCAGTGGGGAAGTCCTGGAACTGCACTTGTGTTGACCACCCCCCCCTCACCACCATTTACCTCTAGCCCCCAGGGAACACAGTCTTTCCTGGCTGTTGCCATATATATATATGTTCTTATTCCAGTCTGATTCTCTCTCATCCCCAAAATAATCAGCATGAGCAGAACGAAGCAGATGGTACAAGCCTTCTTTGGCATACTGGCAGATCTGTATCACTCACTGAGTATTTTTAGAATCAAGGGGACTGAAAATTGTGTCCTGAGATGTTTTGGGGGAAGACTTACTATCTTTCCATGGTGACAGGTGTTGAAATAGTACCGTATTTAAGATTCAAGTGCAGTATGTATGTCAAGTGACAGAACAGACCCATTCTCATCAGGACCTTCACTCTGTCACTTCTCTGTTAGGTTGCTGGTGGTCTGCCATTCAATTCGAAGTAACCCTAAGTCTGTTTCAAGGACAGGGCCAGAAAGAGTATCGGGTTTCATCCAAAGATTGGAATCTTTAGTATACAGCCAACACCAATTGAGAACATGGCAATGAGAGATGTAGTATATAGCCACATGGTTTTTGTGTTGTTGTTTTTTTTTTAGATAGCTGAGCTTTGATCCTGAGCCACAAAGAATTTATAGTCTGTGGGGAAAGACAATTTTTATAGAAGTTTGTGAATATATCATGAAAACAGTGCAAATATTTGTATTCTCAGGTCCATATTTATGAAATACACAATTATGGTAACTGGAATGTTATAACTATTTATGAAGTTGAATTCATTCCTAAAGACTCCCTGAAGAAGTTAGAGAATGTTCACTATCATGGACTCCATTCAGGTCAGCATTTGAGGACCAGCCTTGTACTCTGTGGTGTTGTGTATATTAAACACAACCCTAAAACTTAACAAGATAAAGTCTTAGGAGAAAGACATTTATGAAGCAAGTATGAAAAGTTTGAGTTAAAGTTGGAGGACTTGAGGTTGGAGGAAATGAGCCTCAAGCTTAGACAAAGCATGGCCATGTTGCTCTCTGATTATACCTGCCATCTTCAAATGCCAAATTATTTAAATAGACACAGCTAGTGGCTGCTGTGTGGGACACTAGTCTTGTTTCACAGCAGCATATTTTGAATGTTCAGTAGCCATGATAATATAACATTCCCATCATCACCAAAGTTCTGTTGGCTACACTGGTCATCTCATAAAGCGAAACTTGGGGAGAATTAATTTACTGAGATAAATAGAAAAAAAAAGTATATATGACTGGAATTGTAAGCAGGTGAGACAAATACAAAATCTTCCCTACCAAACCAGTTCCTCTGAAGTGATGAGGGCTGTTTTGAGTTTAGCTGTAAAGGGAAGGAAGGATAGTTATATTTCAAACTTCATAATCAGTGTATGTTTTAGTCTTTTAAAAAGAGACTTGAGAAGAAGAAAAGAGCAATCCCAAGTGAAGGGAGTGTTTTAAAAGCTGGTTGAGTATTATGGCCAGGCCTAGGCTGGCTGTGAAGTAGGATGGGATCCTAAGACCTGGCAGCACAGGCTCCATGAGTGAGATGGAATTCCTAGAAGGAATTTGTAGCCAGGGTTATTGAGGATGCCTCAAGGTGAGGCCTCAGGAAGGAGATGGAAAACTGGAAGGGAATGAGGGGTTGGACAGGACTTTGGGTGATCTGCCTTGGACACATTTTCACAAATGATGGTCCAATGATAGAGAAGGAAGGGTCTGGAGTTTGGTGATTCTGGCTGAGTGAGAGGGATGTTAATAACCTGGGTTTTAGATAGGTTGAACTAAAGGTAGGCTACCCCCAGCTACCTGAGGAATAAGGAAATGTCCCCATAAACAAAAGGATAAGAGGCAGACAGTACAGTTTTCCAGAGGACAGTGCCTATAAATGTGGCCTGAACATCCTTGCGAGCTATCAGTTCTGTTTGCACGGGGCTGTTCCATCTCCCCTCGCCACGTCAGCTTTAACCCACGTTTTGTTTCCTCAGTCCTTGTGCATAGTTATCTCACAAGCAAATTAACTTAGATATATACAAATGACTTCTTCTCATCCTCTGGAAGTTTGGACAGGTGTCATAAACAACTTGTGCTATACTAAAACAGGTGAAGAGAAAAAGCCAGTGGTTTGAATAAGGGGTGATTTTTGTGTGTGGACCAGTAGAGCACTCCAATGAGGGCAGGGAGGTTTTTTCTTTTTCTTTTGCCAGTCTGCTGAGCCTCACTGACCAGAATTTTCAAAGTAGATGATGCTGAGTCTATGTCACAGAGTGCTTCATCAGCCCTCTGAGTGCTGGCCAGTGATGCCTTGCCACTCGGGAGGAGCAGATGAGTGGGTTTCTATGCAGAAGGGCCTCTCAAAGCACAGGGCAGGTGGAGAATCGTGCCCACTAGAGCCATGTGAAGGAACATGCTGGCCGTGGGTAGTCGGCTCTGAAGTGTTAGGGAGGGAAAGTGTGGTTTTTAAGTGGCTGATGTGAGAAATCCATTCCTCTTATCTCCACAGGCTGTCAGATGATGCAGACCCCCTTCCTGTGCCTGGATCTCTTCTGTGCCTCAGACTTTCTCGCTTGGGCTCAAGGCTGCATGCGAAGTGGGACTTGGGAAAGGAGAGGACAGAATTAGTGGCTGCTGCTGCTGTCTCTGCCCTGCACCTTCCTTCCCTGTGTGCCTCAGTGGTACACCGTTTGATTGGCCTATCTGAAAAGGAAGGTGTGAGAAGCAAAGCCCATGGCCGCATTCCCCTGCCAAATATGTGGCAAAACGTTCCTCACTCTGGAGAAGTTCACTGTTCACAGTTATTCCCACACCAGGGAGCGCCCGTTCAAGTGTTTGCAGACCGACTGTGGCAAAGCCTTCGTTTCCAGATATAAATTGATGAGGTGAGAGGCTTTAGAAAGGTATGTGCTTTTACAGGGCCTTTAAGAGGCTCTGGAGCCTTCAGTCCACTCACAGTAACAGGATACAGGATCTGAATCTATATTTTAGCCTTTTAGGGAGTCTTCAAAGCTGTCTCTCCAGTGATTACTGTGCTTTTCTGCATCCATTTTGCTTTGCCATGTTGGTTAATTCCTTCAGCAGATATTTCTTGTACCCACAGGGTAGCAGGCCTAAGAGCAGAAAGGTGAGAAGCGGGTGGGGTAGGCATGCAGAACTATTAAATGCAGTGGTGCTTTGACAACTGTGCAGGTGGAGGCTGCTCAGGAGGGACAGTCCTCCTCTGAGATCTACAGCATGGGGAGGAAAAAAAAAAAGCTCTAACCCTTGGCCTTCAGGTGCCATGCACCGAGTGTAACCCTGGAGGAGGAGAGGGTGAGACCAAGCACATCAGTGAGAAGGAAACAGGTGCCCCAGGTCTCACCCAGTATCTGGAAGCGCTCCTTTTTATTGATTAGAGCATTAGAAAGATGACTTTGACAGTAATGTGGAGAAGAGGTTGATTGGAAACCTGTCACAAGAGTCTGTATACAAAATGGGAGGGCTTGCCAGGTCCCAAGAGCGACATGAAGAAGAAAGGCCCATGAGTGTGAACTTTTGGAGTGGTTTGTCACCTTGGGTGGAAAAAGCACTCAAACATGTAAAGTTCAACTGGTCCTACAGATGCCAAGCATGTGCATTGAATCAGATGTGCAGAGGCCTCTGTGATATACCAAAGGATAAAAACCACTGTTGTAGCAGATTCATCTTCTTTAAAAATACATTTAATCTGGATGATTTTGAGTGTTTGTTAGGTGCTTACTTCTATGAGGGAAATGAGAGATATATCTTCTGCCTCCAAGGGATTTTTTTTTTTAATAGGAACAGGTTTTCTTCCATCATAGACAAGACAAAATGTACAGTCAGACACTAGTCTGAGGGACAATGACTGTAGTCGGCATGGTGTCTACAGTGCCCAAGAGCCACATGCACAGCACTCTATGAATGTGGCTCTTCTTCTGATGCCTGGTTAAGAGAGATGTGCCACTCACCTCTAATCTTCTTGAAATGATCTTTAAAGCTTCACCTTTCTGACTGCTTACATCTAAGTGCAGAGTTTAGAGAATTGGCACAGACTACATTATCATTTCAATCTCAGAGTGCCCTGGGGGAAGGTAGATATGAATTATGCTGGTGGCCCTTGATACTGCTGTTACAGATGATATAACCTAAGTGTGTAAAAGCTTAGGTATTTTATACCTCAGAGGTATAATTTAATCTGGATGTGCATAGGCCACCACCTAGTACTAACAAATAGCAGAATGGCGGGTGCACTGATTCTGTCACAGTGGCTCCCTGGTTTGCATGGAGCTTGTTAGTGTGCACAGCAAACATCTCCATTCCAAATACTGAAGGCAGCCTGGGCTGCAGCCTGGCCCACAAGGTACCCTAACTTTGAGTAAAGACTGAGATAAATGCCTGGGAAACAAAGTGTAATTTACAGATTATTGGAATGAGTAGAATTAGTTGGGATTACTGTGGTCAACCACACTCAAATAAATATTAAGCAATATTTAGGAGGCAGTAGTTCAAGGGAAATGTTCAGTTAAGGGCATAAAGTTGCCAAAAAGAAGCTGTATACTTTATGCAAAAACCACTGCCCCCAGCCTCAACATTTCCTGCCTCTGGCCTACAAGCGCTCTCATAAAAAACCCAAGTGGTGAGATGGCTTGATTCTTTCTTTAGGTCTGTCTTTAAAAAGAGATGATAGGGCAGCATTCCATCCTATTTCCCAACAGTTGCAACAGAAGTTTCATTTTATAAGATTGAAGGGAAAAAACACAAACAAACTAACTGACTTGTTAAACCAGAAAGGAGAACATAGGTCCCAAAAGCAAACAATGGAATCAGTTTGGTGGAGGTTGGCAAAGAGCAAGAAAAGATGGCAGGGCAGTCTCAATCACCCATGAAGACTTATAAGAGCATTGGCATGATCCAGTTGACACCCAAGATGGTACCATTTGGTGCTGACTATAGGATACCCTAAAACTGGTAGTTTCAGAGGTTTTGGGGTAAGGAGAGAAGTTGAAGGTGGGTACCAAGTTGTGGAAGTCATTTGCATTGGTTAATGTTCTAGATTGGGACTGTTGCATGAGGAAGTAAAGGGAAGAACTGGACACCAGGCAAAGGATGGTCGTCAATCTCTAAGGGATGGGAACTTATGAAAGGTGGTAATATTGCTTAAGTATTAATGCCAACCTGTGTTCCATTCCTACAAGAGTAGGCAGGAAATGCCAGGTCCAGCCTTATCAACTTGGTATTGATCTGCTCATGAGTGATAGGTGAAATCAAACCAAATTAAAATGTTCCACAAAGAAATGGGAGAAGGGCAACACTAGAAGACCTAGCCAGACCTCTGGGGTCCTGTTCATAAGCCAGCTCCCCCTTCATTATCAATTCCTGTGATTTATCTTGTAGAACAGCATGGCTATTTGCTCCCTGACATGCTCTAAAAGCCTTTCTTCAGCCTATGAATTTATACATCTAGAACATGGAGACACTGGCATATTTCAGATCTCTCAAATGCCTACTGTATTGGTTCTTGTCTCTTGAGTATTGTTCCCATCTTACAGTATCTGCCACATTAGGCATGCTAAGCTGTGTGTCCTGGAGGAAAGAGAGGAAACCCGCTTTTCTTGCTGCACATAGCAGGCTATTTTTTTTTTAAGTGAGAGAGGAAGGTTTTGCTTTGATTCAGACCAGCCTTATCATTTTTGAACTGGCTTCCAGTTTGCCTCGTAGTGGGACCACTATCACTGTCTGCCCAAGCACTGCTGTTGTAGAACACTTTCCTGTTCCAACTCTAGGACTCGGCAAGACAGGGTTGGTTGTTGGGTAGAAGATATAATTAAGTACACTTTTAACTTATTCTGTCTTCAAGAGATCTTTTTTTGGTAGAATGCATTGTTAGAAGTTCTTCTGTATCCAGAGTCACTAGTTCAAAGGATTCAATTTGCATTTAAATTGTTAGTAAAACAAATTAAGCCTCTAAAGAGAAGTGCACTCACTTTTACTGCACTCACCAGTGCACTAAAGAAGATAACTGTCATAAGGGACACAAAGTAACCTGTGTGCTACCTGCGAGCTACAAGTTGTAATGAAGGATTGTATTTTATAAGAAATACAAACACATAGTCCTTAGATTTTTAGTTATTAAAATGAATCTTTTTAAAATTCAAGGATGGCAGAGATCTTAAAAACTGGCTTCAGCTTAACACTTTTTCTGAGGCTAACGATAGACATTTCAAAAGGTTCCTTTTTTTTCTTTCAGTTGATACAGACCATGCAGGAATTGTATTAGGAACAATGATATAAAACTGGGAAAGTGGGTCACTTTCGAAAATTTCAATTTACAAAAAATGTCAAGTGTCCCTTGAACCCCCTCCTGAAAAAATATTTTTCATGATCACATATTTTTAAATACTTGCATACAGATTTCTGAACAAATACAGTAAGAAAATATGTTCCTAAAAAAATATTCCTGATAGATGTGAAAGTTGCATTATATCTTTAGCAGTTCGTGATTTTTTTTTTACAATAAAATTTTGTGTATTTGGAAAATACAAGAAAAATTAATTCAAATAAAAATGCCAAAACCTAGATTAAATCTATTACCATTTTGATACAATATTGTTTCTAGACCTTTCTTGTCATAAAGTAATTCTTGTGTAATGTTCCCTTCTGCTCCTAGGCATATGGCCACTCACTCGCCGCAGAAATCTCATCAGTGCACTCATTGTGAGAAGACGTTCAACCGGAAAGACCACCTGAAGAACCACCTCCAGACCCACGACCCCAACAAGATGGCCTATGTGTGCGAAGAGTGTGGAAAGAAGTACCACACCATGCTGGGCTACAAGAGGCACATGGCCCTGCATTCAGCCAGCAGTGGGGACCTCACCTGTGGGGTCTGCGCTCTGGAGCTGGGGAGCACCGAGGCGCTGCTTGACCACCTCAAAGCCCATGCAGAAGAAAAGCCCCCACCTGTACCCAAGGAGAAGAAGCACCAGTGCGACCATTGTGAGAGATGCTTCTACACCCGGAAGGATGTGCGACGCCACCTGGTGGTCCACACAGGATGCAAGGACTTCCTGTGCCAGTTCTGCGCCCAGAGATTTGGGCGCAAGGATCACCTCACCCGTCACACCAAGAAGACACACTCGCAGGAGCTCATGAGAGAGAGTATGCAGGCCGGAGGAGACCTTCTGAGCAACTTCCACACTATGGAGCCTTCATTCCAAGTGAAGGCTGCTCCCATGTCTCCTTTCCCGATAGGAGTTCCTGCCCAGGATGGGCTTGTAGGTAGCTTGCCACCTGAGGTTCACAGCCTCACCCTTGGGCCTCCAGAACAGGCCATCCAGCCTATGCCACCACCACTGCCAGAGCCCATTGTCTCTCTGCACCCCATGGTAGCACCAAGCTCTCCTCCTGAAGTCTTTCAGATTCCTAAGTTCACCACCAGTGCTACCTCATACCCTATACTTCCTAGCCTGCCTTTCAAAGCAGATACTAAAGGGTTTTACAACATCACTTTCTTTGAGGACTTGCCTATGCAAGAACCTCAGCCACCTCACAGGTTCAACCTAGGTTTTGAGCTGGCTAATGGAGAGCTCCTTCCTGGGGAGCTGGTGGCAGATGCTGTGAATCTAACAATCCCTGCCGCTCTCGACATATCCTCCCTGTTGAGTTTCTGGCAGTTTGTCCCTCCTGCTCCCCCAAATGTCTTTGGAGACAGCACTATCACTCTGGGGCCTATGGAACCTCTGCCCCATACATTTGCCTATCTGGAGCAGCAGCAGCCACCACCACTGCCGCCGCCACCACCACCCCCACCACCTCCACCGCCCCCACCGCCCCCCCCACCGCCACAGCCACAACCACCACAGCAGCAGATACATCTGCTTCAGGGGCAGCCGCAGATACAGCTGTTTCAGGGGCAGCCGCAGATACAGCTGTTTCAGGGGCAGCCACAGATACAGCTGTTTCAGGGGCAGCCGCAGATACAGCTGCCACTGGTGCAGCAGCAGATACAGCTGCCACAGGCGCAGCAGCAGATACAGCTGCCTCAGGGGCAGCAGCAGATACAGCTGCCTCAGGCGCAGCAGCAGATACAGCTGCCACAGGGGCAGCAGCAGATACAGCTGCCACAGGGGCAGCAGCAGATACAGCTGCCACAGGCGCAGCAGCAGATACAGCTGCCTCAGGCGCAGCAGCAGATACAGCTGCCGCAGCTGCAGGAACAGCAGCTGCAGGAAGTGCAGCTCCAGCAGGGGCAGCTGCAGGAAGTGCAGCTGCATGAGATACAGCTGCAGGAGGCACAGCTGCAGGAGATGCAGATGCAGGAGGGGGAGATGCAGGAGGGGGAGATGCAGGAGGGGGAGATGCAGGAGGAAGAGCTGCAGGAGGAGCAGCTGCAGGAGGGGCAGCCACCAGAAGCCCCAGTGGCTGTGGGCACCGTGAATCTGGGCCAGCTCCCCCTGCCCCCGATTCCCCCTGTCTTTACAAATGGCACCACCACTGCCATCCTGCCTCATTTCCATCATGCCTTCAGATAAATAGTCTTTAAAAGCAAATTTTTCTGATTGTGGAAGATGTTTTAAGAAGCATTTTAAACATCAGTTATGATACAAGGAAAGATGTAGAAAACAGGAATGGGAGTATGGTGTATTCAGTGATGACTTGTCTTAAGAGAATTCTCGAATTGCATGTATTGTGCCAATCTGTCCTGAGTATTCATTCTTTGTACCAAATTTAACGAGTGCGTGTTCTTTAATCAAACTGCAAATATTGTCATAACCAACATCGAAAATGACAGCTGCTATATATAAATGTTTGTCATATTGAGTTTAATTGTAAGCCATGATCATCATGTTAACTAAATAACTTTTTATGTGGCACTGCCTAGTATGGAAAGGCTTGGACTTCTCCAAGTTGGGAGAACAACTTTTTTTTTCTTTTGCTTTTTTTTTTTAATAAGAATATAACCTTTATATGTATGCTATATTACAACTAAGGTGTGTATCTCTCTGTTCAGGGATTTTTCTACCTTTAGGGTTGAACGTAGTTTAGTTACTATTACCATAGCCAACCTGTAGTTTTAGAGAAAGAAAATCCTTGTGGAACAATAGGTTCCTCCATTTTTAAGCATTTTAAATGTAGTTTGAATATTTTCCATATGATGCTGCAATGTGAGTTATTACTTCATTTATCTTAAAGACAAAACTGGTTGTCAGTTACATCTGCCTGAAAAAAAAATCACTGTGTAACCAGGTTAAGTGGTAAAATAATCCAGGCGTCAGTCAAAGACATTGTGCTGACTATAATATCGATTATATTTTTAACAGGAATTTAAAAATATTACTGGAATTTATATATTAAATGAGTTTTCTTTGCCTAGCTTAAACTACTATTCAAGCTGCTTAAGTTCCTAAGTATTGTTTTTAATCACCAATAGATAAGTGCATTTGTAATTCATCATTTTAAGCCATTATTAGCATTTACTCAAAGAGGATTACATTTTACAATGTAATTGTACCTGTAATCTCTGTCTCTGAAATCTCTTTCTCTTGAGGATTACATTTTACAATGTAACTGTACCTGTAATCTCTGTCTCTGAAATCTCTTTCTCTTGAATATGGTATCTTATGAGTTTTTGACATGTAAACTGTAACCTTTTAAAAACCTTTGTATTTTGTTTAGAGGTTTTCTTTTCCATAAACATGTATCTTACATATAATAAACTTTACATATCTTGCAATACGGCTTGATTAATTTTCACATAGCTACACCTGCGTCAACATTAAACACTCTGATCAAAATAGACAATGTTCTAACTCCCTAGTGCCCCCTCCTGGTCATTACTTCCCTCACAGAATATAAACTATCGTTCTTGGTCTGCATCTGTTAGAAACTTGACCTTTTGAATAAAATCAGTTATTTCTGATATATAGGTTAGAATACTACCTACTAGAGTTTAATCCACTCTGGCTACTAAGATCCATTTTATAACAGCATTTACCATTAATTTCTAATACAAATTAGAAATGTACTTATTCCTTACAAGGATTTCTTTAGAAAGTATTATGCCCCCTAAATCTGACAGACTGGTTTGGGAGGGCAGAGAAAGGGGAGTGTTGTATTTGCACATCCCAGGATTACAATAAGTGAGAGAAACTCTGGCCATGACAAAGGGCAAAAGCTAGGCTGAAGCACGTAGAATTAATATAGAAGAACTTAAACTATGGGATCCAGATGGGCTTTCTTGTTTTTCCAGCACCAGGGACAGAACCAATAGCTTCACATGAGCTAGGAAAGCATTCTGCCACTGAGCTTCACCACTAAGCCCCAAACTAAGGTCCTTAAACTATAGTGGAGCCAGAGGGAAGGAAACAAGGCAAAATGAGATATAGGGTCCTCACTGGAAGGAATCCAGTGCCCATGCTCTAGACATCCAAGTCAGTTCCCACATCCCATCCTTCCTCTTGGCAGGAAGCATCCCTCCAGAACAAGGGGTTGTGGGAGCTTTATCTCACCTCATCTTAAGACCTCCCAAAATCTGTTTATAGAAGCGTCCACAAATACTTTTACATGGCTTAATATAGTCTTTGGTCAGTTCTGGAATGCACACCTGATGTTCCTGAACATAAATCAATGGTATTTGGTCCCCAAAATTCAGGTCATGAGAACTTCTGATGTTTTTGTTATACTATTATGGGGGCAACTTGGGAATCTCTTGCTGAAATTTAGGAAAGAAACTTCACTGAATTTTCCCTATTAAAGTTCCCAATGAAGAAAAACAAAGTTGTTGAGCTAAAAAGTATGAGACTAAATATAAATGGCTCTTCAGAAAAAGAAAAAGAAAAAAGAACTGATGCTTAAGACAGCAAAGAGGAGGAAGAACTGGCTCACCTTCTCCCAGCAGCTGTGTAAAGCCACAGCAAAGAAGGGAACTGGCTCTGATTTGGCCCTGGTAAATGGGATGGGGCCTTTGGTGTTCTTCCACAGGGTGGAAAGCTTTCTGCGAACTTTCCTCCTGTGAGTTTCCCCCTAAATATGGTCCGTGTAAGATCTTATGAACAATTCTACATTATATAGGAAGGAACATTTAAAGTAGAAATCATTACTAATGGTAATATTAGGTGTAAATATTAAAGCTGGGTGAGGACAGATTTTATGTAGAAAAGATGCTGGTTAAAACGCAGTATTCCTAGTAAATAAATAACACTAGTACTTCAAAGACTACGTCACAAAAAGTTTTAACTTCCAAAGCAACACTATTAAATGCCTAAGAAATATTTGATAAAAAAAAAAAAACTTCAAGTGAATCTTAAACAGTATCATACAGGTTGATGTGTTTAATGATTTTGTTTTGAAAATTGTGAAGGGAGTAAATAAAGAGGAAAGTCGAAGCTAGTGTTACTTATCCTAAGAGATGCCTCTAGAAGATGGGTATCGACTGTCCTTCCCGTTGGGTGGCATTCCTGGGTACATGACTATCCAGGCTGCTGAGTTTCAGGGAGCCAGTCTGAAGGCAGAAAGAAGCGTCATTAGTTTTAGAACATCACTCTTTGCACAATGAGAATGTTAAGCAACAGGCATCTGTAGATCTATAAATGCTTTACACACAATCCGCAATCTCAGGAACTACCTTTTACTGTGGAATGTTTGGAAAAAGAACAAGGCAGTAGCTCTCCAGGTCAAAAGTGAGGATCATTCCCCCTTCCCTCTAACTCAAGACTGAAACACAGGGTGTTCATACTGACCAATAGTTTCAAAAGCATGCACAGAGCTAACCCAGATTGGGACTTGCCCATCATGGATCCATTCTCTTAAACATTGACCAACTATATTCTGCACATTATGTTATCAGCCACACCTGGATTAGGGTGGTTTTTTTTTCCTTACCTGGTGTCTCTAGGAGTTAATCTTTCTTAGAAGATTTACTAAATCCTTGTCTGAGTTTTGCTCCAGAAGTAGGGTCCGTAGCTAATCCTATGCAAACATAAACAGATTTGTTATTATGTCAAAGCAGAACATTCCCAAGGGTGGGGGGAATGATTATGGAATCTCCATATTGAATTCCAAAGCCTTTTTCTCTTTTTTGGTATCAATACCCACTTTCCAACCTTGGACGAATAAAATAAGGAAAATGGGGCCTGTCTCAGGCGCTTCTCCCCAATGTCCCCTAGCCCTTTGTTTTCCTATGAACTTTGGACTGCCACCTTAGGGGACTTGCCATTTATACAATACGACCTCGGCATCCCTCCCCACCCCTTCCTGAACTTTCAAAATGAACCCAGAATATTTCATGTCTTCATAGTTCTTCGCCAGCTCTCAGGGTTTGCTAAGCCTTATGGAAGCACAGGATGCCTTCCCTCACAGGGGTTATTCATATCGTTGAACTTGTGACAGAAGTACTGTTCTATTCCTCTGTGCCCTGCAGAATGGCTAGGTATCGACATGTAGAAATTTCTGGATCTGAGCACAACATACTGTAGTCTGGGTTTGACCACATGGTATGAGACAGGATTTTCAGAGCAATCATTCCTTATAAAAAGAAACAGAACCTGGTATCTTAGAGGCATCCATTCTAATTATTCAGTGTTTTATGAAGAAGTAGCAGTAAGGAAATTATGAATCAAACAATCAGAGAATATAGAAAAGAAGCTTTCAGTGTTAGCTTTACCCAAGAACATACAAAACTTTTGCCAAAGAATCAGAAACTGATGCTATGATGCTCATTACATTTGCTACAGAATCAGCTATGTAAGAAGGGGTATACAAGTGCAGGTAAGATGCTTAACTTAATAAAAACCCACTGACTCCAGAGGCAGGGGCAGGGGGAAGCAGAGTCCACTGCAACAAAGCTGAACAATTCAATTTTACTAACTATGAAGCAACACAGGTGTAGATTCCAGAATTACATTTTCCCAGCAACTTTGGTCTCTGTATAAAGGTGCTGGGGAAGGAATGTGGTGGTGGCACCTCTTCACCCACCAGTTGCTCTGACACAAAAGCCTTGAGAAAACAGCCACCAGTAACTGCTTGCTGACTGAAAGTCATAAACTCTTTTCCCATCTGAACATTAGAATCTTTGTGGGAATGAAATGCAAGAGGAGCCACTTTTTTTTTTCTGAAACTATTTCCTAATGTTATCTATAGCCTTGACATTTGTATTCTTGGACCCAGTTTTCCCAAAGCAGATGGAGCTTCGGGAAAAGCCCTGCTGCTTCCTATTAAGTTGCTTGTCCAGATTGCTTAATCCTCATCTGGAAAACAGGGATATGAACATACACTGACCTGCTCATACTAGTATGAGGATTAAATGGCTTTGTCCATGGAGTGCTTGGAAGAGTGCGTAATGTAAGTGGGGCCACTGTCCATGAACTGGGGACTTATTTAATACAGCAAAAATGCAGAAGCAATCTACCTGCTCAATATTGGGAAAATAGCCGAGGGAGTTGCAATGTATTCCTGATATGATACTATTTTTAAAGAGATTCTTTTACTATAGGGAAATAGTCAAAATGCATTAAGTGCCCAAAAAAAAAAAAATGTTCCTAGAAGGAAAACAAGAGAGGAAGAATATGAATAGAAATAAGTTAGGAAAAAAAGGTCAAAGTGAACAGTGCTTAGGGTGGCAGCATCACGAATGATTTTTAATTTTCTTTGTAACTTTCCCTCCATTTCCTAATATCTTTTACAGTAAGCTAGAATTTCTTACATAATTCTTAAAATGCTATTTCTCAAAATAAATTTTGGCAGGCTCACTTAAAGTGGCCAGAAACAAAAAGTTTCTAGGTCATCATAATTGCCTGACTCACACAGATGTGCCTGACGCAGAGTGACAGAGGATGGGACAGCAGCATTGACAACAAATGATGCTTTGTTAAGCGTCTCTGCCCTCCCTGCTCACATGCAGGTCTTCCATTTCAACTTTAGTTTCTCTTTACACCGCAACTCTTTCCTGTGCTTTGGCCAAACAAACTGTATGTTCCTAGAGTGTGGCCTCACATTCACATTCTCCATCTTTGTTCATTCTTCAATTTTTCTTGTCAAAATGTAGCTTATCCTGAAATCCATCCACTTCCCACAGAGCCTCCCCTCTCTGAGACTGCTACCTCAGTCATGAAGCCTCCTGGGCAACACTGAGCTCAACATGGAGCAATGTCCCTTAGGACGTTTCCATCTCATCATTAAATATTAGGTGCCGTTACTGACAGTCCTCCTAGATTTTTAAGGCTCCATAGGCAGAGGAAACAATCCCGCCTGGTAACTGTTGGAGGGAGGACTCCTCTTGAGCACCTGGGTTAATGATTTACCAATTTCACATGCTACCGTGTGCTCACATGTTAGACTTGCCTTCTCATGAGACCCTGGGATAAAGAAGGCCTGTGACGTACACACATGTACCTTTCCTACTGAGAATTTAGAGCTGTTATCCATGGGAGGTGCTATATGCTTACTTTGCTAAAGAGAGTTGAAAAACAAAATCCAGAGTTTGGGAGGTTGCTATGGCTGAGATACGGTGGGGATGTGACCGCCCCACCCCCTTCCCAAGTGTTCTGGTGTTGGAAGCTGGATCCCCAGTGTGGCAATGTTAAGAAGTGGTGGGACCTTTACAAGGTGGAGCCTAAAGGGGAGGTCATTAGGGGTATCATCCTAGGAAGGGGTTAAGTAGTTCTCACGGAACCTCAGTTCCTGTGAGAGTGAGCTGTTAACAAAGGAGCAAGTCTGGCCCTCCCCTCTATTTCACTTCCTTCCTCCTCATGCCATATCTCCCTCTCGCATATGTATCTGCCACTGTGATGACATCCACTGGGGTCCTCACCAGTATCAATGTCATCCATGTTGTTTGGACTTTCAGCCTCAGAACTGTGGAGACAATAACTCTCTTTATAATGTATCCAGCTTGAAGTATTTTATTATAATAATGGAAAAATAGACTAATATGGACATTAACTACCAGCTGGCTGAAAGACAACAATTTAATTTATGTGACACCAAAAATGGCCATGTGATTAAAAAGGAGAGTAACACAAAGTAAACTACTGATTGTCCATTTAGAAATAGCAAAGCCCAATAACAATTTTAAAAAGATTTTGTCTTTGTTTTGTGCTGCTATAACAAAATAGGAAGACTGGGAAATTTATAAAGAAAAGATGTTTATTTCTTAAAGTTCTGGAAGCTGGAAAGTCCAAGCTGAAGGGGCCCCCAGGTATCTATCTGATGAAGATCTTCTTCATTATGTCATCCCATGGCAGACAGCAAAAGGGAAAAGAGCATGCATCCAAGAGAGGGGAAAAGAGACAGAGCTTCATGACCAAAACACCTCTCAAATATTCCGCCTCTAAACACCAAAGCACTGGAGACTTTGGGGGTTGCATTCAATCCATAGCATTTTGCCCCAGCACCCTAAATCAATATCCTCCTTCCATGTAAAACATAGCCATTCTGTTCCAATAGCCCCCAAATCTTAACTCATTTCAGCTTCTAACTTAAAAGTTCAAAGTTCAGAATCTCATTGAGATCAGATATGGGTGAGTCTCAAAGCATGATTCATCTGGAAAGCAAATTTCCTTCCAGCTGTGAGATTATAAAATTAAACAAATTATCTACTTCTGAAATACTTAGGATGGACATCCCACTACAAAAGGGAGAAATAAGAAGAAAGGGATAACTGCTTCCCAATAGTCCAAAACCCAAGAGGGAAAACAATATGAAATCTTGAGACCTAGAATAATCTCTTTGGGCCTCATGTCCCACATGATGGACAAACTGGAAAAAGAGTAAGGTCTGGGCCCCTGAGGTCTCAGGCACCACCGCCTTCCCTGGTGGAGTTTTGCTGGGCTCGTTCACCCAGAAACCCTCATGGGCTGGAGTCTCATGCCCCCAGCTTTCCAAGGCTGGACTTACTTGCTGGTGGCCCTACATCTCTGTGGTCTCAGAGACACATTCAAACCACGGGAGATCCTCATGTTACAAATAGACTCTCCTATTCACACAGACCAGAAAAAGGAACAGGTGTGACTGACTCATGCCCAGGCCAGGTCACATTAGTGAATTACTTGAGCCACCCGTGAATTACTTGAGGGTCTTCTCTCTGTATTGAGCCATGGATATTTACGGTTTTTTTCCAAGGCTCTCCCCCAATACATAAGGTTGCCCAAGGCACATGACTTCTATCTCTGCTCTATTAGCTCTATAACCCCTCTCGTAGCTCAGTCTTGGGCATAACCCACTGGGAATTGGACAGCCCACCTCCTACCTATTTGGCAAAGAACATTCCATGGAAAACCTTTGATGTCCCCCATACAAATAAAGCAAGCGCGGGCTCCATTTTGCGTTTTTTTTTTTTGTTGTTTTGTTTTGTTTTTTTTTGTGTGTGTGTAAGCTCGATCCCTAAGATCAGCTAGCCCAGTCCAGCCCCCACTTTTTTTTTAGGTTGTTGATGGACATTTATTTATTTATTTTTATTTGTACGTGGTGCTGAGAATTGAACCCAGTGTCTCCCTCACATGCTAGGCAAGCGCTCTACCCAAGACGCAACCCCAGCCCCTCTTCCCCCAACTTTTAAAATTACTTTCTGTGTCCTGTGGTTTTCGTCACCACTCAACCTTTCTTAGCTTTTATTCCTCAGCCAACCCATTCTCACCACTTGTGGGGTCGTGGGCAGGAGTGAAAGGCAATCACTGCTTTTCTCCAAGTCTACACACTCTAGAGAACCAGCTTCCATTGATTGATGTGCATCTGTTTCCCCCAGCATAGCTCCAAACAACATGTAATTCCAGGGATTTTATTTCCAGGTAAAGCCCCAGGAAAGAAGAAGTTACTGAAACATTTTAAGACTGAAAAGGCAGGGGGCGGGGAGGTGGGAAGAGCTATCTCCTAAAGCTAAATTAACATGTCAATTATATTCAAATGTCAATAATTTAATGAGAAATAAGATTCCAACTTTCTCCCATATATTTTATTCCAGAAGGACTTGTTGT